GTTCCCCTGGCCCCCCCAGCCCCCTCCGCTGGGGTCCACCAGTGGGTTTCTTACCATTGAGTCTGTTATGGTTTGCGCATGTTAACAAGGTCCCAGGTACCGCCTGGGCACCTATGGTTAGAGACGCACTACTCCGGGGGCACTATGTCTAATCTCCTCTTCCTAAGGCAGGTACCGCCTGGACACCCATGGTTAGAGACGCACTACTCTGGGGGCACTATGTCTAATCTCCTCTTCCTAAGGCAGGTACCGCCTGGACACCCATGGTTAGAGACACACTACTCTGGGGGCACTATGTCTAATCTCCTCTTCCTAAGGCAGGTACCGCCTGGACACTTATGGTTAGAGATGCACTACTCTGGGGGCACTATGTCTAATCTCCTCTTCCTAAGGCAGGTGCCCTCTGGGCACCTTATTGTTAGAGACGCACTACTCTGGGGGCACTATGTCTAATCTCCTCTTCCTAAGGCAGGTACCACCTGGACACCTATGGTTAGAGACACACTACTCTGGGGGCGCTATGTCTAATCCCCTCTTCCTAAGTGAAGCCTCTGCCGCTCCACATAGGGCAGGGGAAGGGGCAGTGGGGTGCTGGGCTGCTGGGCTGCTGGGCGCTGGGTGGATGCTTCCGGGCACCCTGTTCTCCAGCGGTGGATCCACGCCCAAGCAGGTTGGAGGGAAACTACCTTTCCAGAAACTCAGATCCACGGGGTCTGGAATAAGAGATCTACAGTGAATGATTCAAGAAAGGAAGTTCCAAGGGAGGTGGGCGGGGTGAAGGGGTGGGGGTTGGGGTGACTGGGTGACAGGCACTGAGGGGGGCACTTGGTGGATTGAACACTGGGTGTTATGCTATACGTTGGCAAACTGAACTCTGATAAAAAAAAATTAAAAAAGAAAAGAAAGGAAATTCCATGAAGTCCTGGGCAAGGTTATTAAAGGAAGGTTAGTGATAAGAAGTCACTGCACGAAGGAGCTTGAGAAACTTTTTTGTTTTCTAGCTTATTTCCAGATCCAAATGCTAATAATGGCCGGGGGGGGGTAGATTTCCAAAGCCAAAGTGAAGTGTCCTTCTTATTAATTAATACATTTATTTGATCACTCATTTATCTTCACTTCCGTATTCCTTTGGCCTTTTCTCCTCCTTTTCTTTAGTACATTTTGCTTCCAACCCTTTCTGGTGCATTCATTTTGCCTGATTTTTCTTTACCTCTCTGCCTTTGCTTTTCTCAAATCTTTTCTCCAAAGACTATAAAACAAGAAGGAAACAAGACAAAGTTTAAAAGTATGGTCCAGGGGTCGTTTCATGCTGCTATCAATTCTTATCAAGAAAAAATTTTAAAAATGTGGTACGTAGTTTTTCTTCTTACATAAAAAATAGAAAGAATTGCATTTCCATTGTACTAGCACCTTCATGCAGCTACAATGATTAGCTACTGTCCATGGTGTTCCAGTTGTTTCTATTCCATCTTCCATTTCTCCCCTACCCTCTTTTTTCTTTCCTCCCTTCTTCTTTCTTTTCTTCCTCCCTCCCTCCCTCCGTTCCTCCTCCCCTTCTTGCCCCCTCCCTCCCTCCCTCCTTTCTCTCTCTCCCTCTCTCCCTCCTTCCTCACTCTCTCTTTCTCTCCCTCCCTCCCCTTCGCTCTTTCTCTCTCTCCTGCTGGTGTGGTGTTTATTAAAGCAAATCCCAGACATCATATCATTTAACTCATTTCCTATAGAATTTCCTGGAGGCAGGGCCACAAGAGAATGTAGGCTGAGGAAATGATCCCTTATAATTGTGTTATTCACCAAAATATGGAATTTGTGTTACTGAGATAAGGAAAAATATAGAATTTCCCAAACCTCCACATAATACCCCAGGTGGTATAGATTTTATTTTCCATCTCCAAGTCTTCCCCCTAGAGTCTTCGCGGGGGGTCCATGAGGACTTTTTGATCTTCCTTTGCTATTAAAGTAATAACAGAACATGTGGACGTTCATAAACCTAAAAAGAGACGCATATCCTCTTACTATTCACTAAGAGCGTTCTGAGAACATCACTTTTGGAGTTAAACTTTGTCAGTGTAGATTTTAGGAGCTCTCCTATGACAAAGAGCCAAACCCAACACCCCCCCCCCCGGGGCGTGCCCCCTGAGCTGACCCTTTTAATGGTTTAGACGCACCTGGGTCTGGATGGGAAAGCGAGGCGCGCAGTTGCTCTAATGCTCCCACACATCAGATCTACAGAGTATCAAGTGATTCGAAAGTCAGGTTATTTCCACTGGTAAACATCTAACTAAATTCGAATAAAATGCCCTCTAAATAAGTCAAATGGACAGGGGCTTTGAATGAAGGAATTAATTATCCTTGGTGTCCTAAGGAAAAAGAATCCCACTGTGGCACCGAGAACGTAATTAATGGGAGGCAAGCGCCAACAAATCACTCCTTAAAATATTAATGCTATCAAAGAACAGCTGGATAATGAGCGAAACTTGACCCTTGGGGGACCAGCAAACGGTCCTGGGTCCTGTTGCAGGACTTTTTGCAGTTGTGACGTAATGGAATTCCTTTAAATTGAACAAAAATAACGCAAAGAGGTGTGGTTCTGGGCAAGTTATTAGCAGTAAACATGTCTTTGTGGTTTTATCATCTTATTATGATCAGGGGAGCTCACTTTTGCTGTGGTTCTGAATGGCCTTTCCCCTGAGTTGTTCAGGATATGCACAATCCAAACAACGCTCCTAAAAAAACAACCTGAAAAAAACTTTAAGTCTGGCAAGAACTTTTCTTAGTTTTTGGGGAATAAAAATATAGCACCCAAGAAATTTTTGCAAAAGCAATCTTCCCATATGCCGAAGTCAAGAAAAACTGTACCATTGTTTGTTTGTGGATAAAAGCCAGAACTTTATTTGGTTTTATTTAATAGCTTATTATTGTCCCGAGCAGTATCTATTTCTAAGAGAGCAAGAAAACTAAATATTTACACAGTCCTACTTAGCATCTGACATGCTGGGCATTATTTTTACATTTTCCTACCTAAATGCTAATCTCAATATTTAAAAGCAAAAGTCAGAAGTAATTTTTCTTTTTAACTTGGAATGTATTTTAACTTGGATTGAAAAAAAAGAAACCGTTTTATTCAGAGTCAAAAAAAAAAAAAAAAAGCAGCTCTGAACCGCCTGGGGACCATGGGGAAGCTGCGGGCGTGGTAGATGCTTTTGAGACCCACACTTTTTATTGCTGGTGCACAGCTCACTTTTGTCTCTTTTGTTCCACTCAACTTGCCAACATCTAAATCAGTGACACGGGCATTCAGAGTGTCTGACAAATAGGCTGGGGTACGTGGAACACATTCACACCCACCAGCAGACGAGGAGAGGAAGTTCAGGATGCAGTAAAAATAAATGCCCGCGTTTAGCCTGGTTTCACATGACGCCGGTGTCCTAAGGCCCTTGCGCCGCCGCCGAGGGGGCCGCGGCCCTGCAAATGGCACACAGGGGACACATCCTTTAAATAAATGTGTTTCTTTGCCCCAACAGAAGTTCAGATCGGCTCAATTATCATTAATTTTGTTCTTTTATTTCCTTTGTGGGCGTGAACGAAGTCGTGCTCTTTGAGGGTTTTGGAGCTGCCCTGGGCTGGTGGAGGTGACCGGGGAGGGCGGCACGCGGAGGGGGGGCGGCGTGTGTGCGCGCGGGTGTGCGCGCGGGTGTGCGAACGTGCCCGTCCTCCTCCAAGTGGAAACCTAAGTGCAAAAGTTGGCGGCCCCTTGACCTCGCATCCTGAGCGCCCGGAGCAGGTGCCGCAGGCGGCGCAGGGTGCCCCTCGCCCCGGCCGTCGCGCCCGCCCTTTAGTTCGTGGGTCCCGAGCGGGCGCGGGAAGGTCACACGGGGTCGGCGGCCTTGGCCCTGGCTCCGCGGAGCGCGTCCCCCCCCAACCCCGTGCGGGGTGCGGTCCTGGGGGAGGGGGATCCGCGGGGGGGTATGCGCGCGGGGGGGGGGGTCTGCGCGGGGGGGGGGGATGTGCGGGGAGGGATGGGGGTGGGGGGATGAGCGAGGAGGGGATGCATGGGGGGATTAGGGGATGCACGGGGGGCATCCAGGGGGAGGATCCGTGGGGGGATCCGCGGGGGGAAAGGGGAGGATCCTCGGGGGAGGGTATCTGCTGAGGGTATCCGGGGGGGGGTATCCGCGGGGGGGGATCGAGGGGATGCGCGGGGGGGGGTGGATGGGGGGATCTGCAAGGGAGGGGATGGGGGAATCCTCGGGGAGGATGGGGGATGCGCGGGGGATGGGGATGCGCAAGGGAGGGGATGGGGGTTGCGCGGGGGGGGGATGCGCGGGGGGAATACGGGGGGATGGGGATGCGCAAGGGAGGGGATGGGGGAATCCTCGGGGAGGATGGGGGATGCGCGGGGGATGGGGATGCGCAAGGGAGGGGATGGGGGGTTGCGCGGGGGGGGATGCGCGGGGGGGGGGATCCGCGGGGGAGATCCGCGGGGAGGGGGAATCCGCAGGGGCGCGCGAGCCGAGAGCGGGGGACGGGCGGCCGCGCCCGCGGTGATGAGCGCCCGCGGCGACCCGGGAGGGCGGACTCTCCCGGAGCGTCGCGGCTCCCCCCCCTCTTCCCTTTAAAGGGCGCCCCGCAGGCCGGGCGGGCAGCAGCCCGGGGCCGTCGGTGCCAGGCCACTCGCAGGCGGGCCGACGGCGGCGGCGGAGCAGGGGCGCGGGGCCGGGCGGCCGCTCGCGGGCAGCCCCCGCCGCACGTCGGGCTCGGCTGGGGCGCGGGACGGGGTCGCGGGCGCGGAGGGGCGCCAGGCCGCGGGCGGAGGAGGCGGGCGGCGGAATGAGCCCCGCGGCGCTCGGCCGCAGCCCCCGCAGCAGCGCCCGCCCGCCCGCGCCCGCCATGCTCAGCGCCCGGCTGCGCAGCCCTCGGCGCGGCCCCCGCCGCCTCCCCGCGCCCCGCTAGCCCCGCCGCCCGCGCCCGCGCCCGCGCCCCCGCCCGCGCCCCCGCCCGCCATGAGGCCGCTGCTGGCGCTCTGGCTCGTCCTGGGCGCGCTGCGCCGGAGCCCCGCGGCCGCCCAGCAGGCGGGGGAGTACTGCCACGGCTGGGTGGACGCGCACGGCGGCGACCACGAGGGCTTCCAGTGCCCCGAGGACTTCGACACGCCGGACGCCACCATCTGCTGCGGCTCCTGCGCGCTGCGCTACTGCTGCGCCGCGGCCGACGCCAGGCTGGAGCAGGGCGGCTGCACCAACGACCGCGGCGGGCGCGAGCCCCCGGGCGTCACCGCGCGTAAGTGCCGGCCCCGTCCGGTGCTCCTCCCCGGCCCCCGGGGCCCTGATCCCCCGGCCCCCCAACCCGGCCCCGGGGCCCCGGTCCCCATCCCTGGCTCCCGGGTCCCCTCCCCGGTCCCCGATCCCCCTCTCCAGCCCCGGGTCCCCATCCCCGGCTCCCGGGTCCCCTCCCCGGTCCCCGATCCCCCTCTCCAGCCCCGGGTTCCCACCCCCAGCTCCCGGGTCCCATCCCCGGTCCCCGATCCCCCTCTCCAGCCCCGGGTCCCCACCCCCAGCTCCCGGGTCCCCTCCCCGGTCCCCGATGCCTCTCTCAGCCCCGGTCCCCATCCTCAGCTCCCGGTCTCCCCGGTCCCGATCCCCCTCCAGCCCCGGGTCCCCCCCACTCCGGTCTCCTCCCGTCCCGATGCCTCTCTCAGCCCCGGTCCCCATCCCAGCTCCCGGGTCTCCTCCCGCCCGGTCCCGATCCCCCTCCAGCCCGGGTCCCACCCCAGCTCCCGGTCCCTCCCGGTCCCCATCCCTCTCTCCAGCCTCAGGTCCCCATCCCCAGCTCCTGGGTCCCCTTCCCCTCCGCAGTCCCCGACCCCCGCGTGCGCCGCCGGCGGCCCCGGGTCCGCGCCCCTCATTCCTTTGCGCCCCGACTCCCGCCCGGCGGGGTCTCGGCGGGTGCCCGAGCGAGGGTGGCGGACGGCGAGGAGCGCGGGCCTGCACCGGGCGGCCGCGGGCGAGGCGGCTGGAGCTCCCGGGGGCGCGGGGGCCGAGGGGAAGGGCCAGGGGGCGGCGGCGGGATCGCGGTCTTGGGGCGCTGGGGCCCCCGGTGCGCGCCCGGCTGGGGGCGGCGAGCGCCCCTCTGCACCCCCGCGGGGCCGAGCGGCTGGGCCACGTCCCCCCCACCCTGGGGGCGCCTTCGCGGGGGTCCCGAGCCGCGGACTCCCCCGCGCTCCTCCGCCTCGGGTCGGCCCCGCGGGCAGCCCCCCTGTCGCGCCCTTCGCCCGCGCGGGGCCCGGGGCCCGCAGAGACGCGGTCGCCCCCGGTTCTCAGGCCGGAAAGCGCGGGGCAGATTCCCGCTGAGTTCGGAGCAAGTGAACCCTGGCCCAGCGCAGGAACGTTACACCTAAAACAAAGAAAACAGAAAAAAGAAAAGAAAAAGAGGGAGAGAGAGAAGAAAAAGCCTTGCACCCGAATGGGAACGTCAGGGAACCGGGTGGGAACCCGGAGCGGGTGACACCCCAGAGCCCCCCCCCCCCTCGGGAGCGGCCAGGGAAGGTCCCCGGGGACCGGGGAAGAGGGTGGATGGCGCCGGGTCACCCCGGGTCACCCTCCGCCCAGCGCCCAGCGCAGCCCCCAGGGAGCATAAGCAGGATGCAGCCGCAGGAATTGCACCTCGAGGGGCATCTGGGGGCCGGGCTGCTCTGCGGGGAAAGGGCCCTCGGTGCAAGCGGGGATCCCCAGGCTGCCCTGGCTTGTTAAAAAAAAAAAAAAGATACAGACCCTTTCCTCGGCTCAGCCACTGCCCCTGGGGTCCCGGGGGCCTGCGGGCTTGTCAGTGTGCAGTGTGCAGGGGGCTCCCCCAACCCCAATCCGCTTGGCCGCCCCAGGACAGTGGGCGGCTGGGTGACCGGGCAGGTCACTTAGCTGCTCTGGGCCTCGTGTCCCTCTAAAGTGGGCGCGCTGTTCTCGGAGCAGTTGGGCTGAGGACAGAGGGGGCGGGTGGGGTGCTTAGCCTGGGCACAGGCGGTGGTGGGCAGTCACTCTGCCTTTGCCTTCTTTTTTCTCTTTTTTTCTAAAAATTTTATTTATTTATTCATGAGAGACACAGGGAGAGAGGCAGAGGCACAGGCAGAGGAAGAAGCAGGCTCCATGCAGGGAGCCCAATGCGGACTGGATCCCGGGACCCCGGGGTCACGCCCTGAGCTGAAGGCAGCGCTAAACCGCTGAGCCCCCCACCCCCTACTGCCCTGCCCTCACCTTCTACAGGGCGCTGCAACAGCAGGGTGCCGCGACAGCAGGGTGCCGCGACAGCAGGGTGCCGGGAGGGCAGGGTGCTAGATGGCAGGATGGCGGGAGGGCGGGGTGCTACAAGGGGCAGAGTAGGTGGGAGGTGAGGCCAACATGCGGGAGCCACCGACCTCTGGGTTGAGTGTCACCATCACTGAGGCTTGCACATGCGTGTCCCTGGGAAGGTCAGACCCAGAGCCACTTGGGCATGGGCCAACGAGCCAAGCGCAGCTGAGTGTGTGCAGCCTGGGGTCGGGCGGTGCAGGAGGAGGAGCCGGGCCCACGGAGGCCTTAGTGGGTGCACCGCCACCTAGGCCGGGGTCACCCACAGAGGTGGCTCTCCCAGATGGGGCCACTCGGAGCGGGGTCCCGTGGGGGGCAGGGGGCAGCTCAGGGTGGGACCCGGCCCCGTGGGGGCCATGGCGTGGAACGGCCACTGACTCCCACTCCCAGCTGCCTCAGGACCTAGATGAGCCTGACCGTCCAGAGCCTGGGTGGGGCGCGGGGGGCAGAGGGGTGGCGCTGCAGGAGGCACCCCGGTCCCTCCCGGGAAGAAGTACCCAGAGCTGGGGACTGCACTGCGGGCCAGGCCGGCGGGTCCCCGAGGGTTCCTTCCCAGGCTCCCTACTCCTGTGAGGTCGCGGCCCATGCACAGGCCGGGGTGCATGGGCAGGACGCGCTGGGACCCGAGGGGTGTGTGCACCACCCGCTCCCACCCTCTGCCCACCCCTATGGGGTGTCCTTCCAGAGTCCCGGTGACCAGCCCGCTGGCCGTCCCGTTGCTGCAGGCCGCGGGAGGCGGCTGTTCCCCCGGGTTTCCACGGGAGCTGCGCGCGAGGGCGAGCTGTGGGTGTGGGTGTGAGCCCGCGTCCCCCCGCGAGGAGCCGCCGGCGGGTCGCCCCGGCTGGTGGTGGGGATGGCGGGGGACAGCGGCAGGCACGGGGCTGGGGCCAGGCCGCTTTCTGTTCCGGGGACTCTGCTGCAGCCCGGGCGGCTTTGCCTTTCAGAGCCCGTGTACGTGCCCTTCCTCATCGTGGGCTCCATCTTCGTGGCCTTCATCATCCTGGGCTCCTTGGTGGCGGTCTACTGCTGCACCTGCCTGAGGCCCAAGGAGCCGTCCCAGCAGCCCATCCGCTTCTCGCTGCGCAGCTATCAGACGGAGGCCCTGCCCATGATCCTGCCCTCCGCCGGCCTGCGCGCGCCCTCCCGCCAGTCCAGCACGGCCACCAGCTCCAGCTCCACCGGGGGCTCCATCCGCAGGTTCTCCTTCGCCCGAGCGGAGCCCGGCTGCCTGGTGCCCTCCCCGCCCCCACCCTACACCACGGGCCACCCCATCCACCTGGCGCAGCCGTCGGGGTTCCTGGTGTCGCCCCAGTACTTCGCTTACCCGCTCCAGCAGGAGCCCCCGCTGCCCGGGAAGAGCTGCCCGGACTTCAGTCCCAGCTGACGGGCTGCAGCCATCGGGCCTGCGGGTGGTGGGCCTGCCGTGGGCAGGTGCAGGGCGAGCCACCACCCCGAGGACCTCCAGGGGCAGTGTCCCGGGACCCGGCCACGGCCTGGACGAACGTGGGAGGAGAACGCAGCACCTTCGTAGCCTCCAGCTTCCCGGGCCCCGGTGCAGAATGGGGGGTGCTGCAGCCTCGGCTTTCACCCCCAGAACTGGTGGTGATGGCGTTTCAGGCTGTGCTACCTTCATGCAACACGTGCAGCAGGTGGACTGCAAAGGTGCAGACTGGCTGAGGCCGCGACAGGACAGGTCCGCTGCGCTGACCAGAGGAGGCCAGGGCGTCCTTTGGTTCTTGTGAGTTGTTTAGTGGGTCCTAACGCCGAGAGTGTCAGGAAGCCAAGGGAAATACCCGACTGCAGTCACTGCAGCTTCTCTTAAAAGAATTAACAAGTGAGCAGCCTGAGGTAGTGGTGATTCGGGGAAGCAGCCCAACCACCAACGCCGTTAGTGTCGGGAGGACAGTTACGTGTGAAGTTAGTAACTAGACTTTGTGCATTTTCAGAACACGAGATTTTACTAATCACACGAGCAGTTTAAAGTCTTAAATCTTCGCTCCGATTTCCATCCTAACACAGACCTTAGGTCAAAGCATTTCCCCCACCCACCTGAGGGAATATTTATTGCTGGACCCTTGGTGCAGCGAGTAGTGTTTAAATGAAAGTCGGACAGTTCGGTCTCAAGGCATTTATTTGTAAAATGAGTTATGTACAAATGTAAAGAGTTGTAACAGTGTATTTACCACGTGGGCGGCACTAATTATTTAGTAGGCACACTGATTATTTATGTTGGTCACTGTGGACTTGAGGGCCCAGCCGCCGGTGGCCTCGTTCTCCGTCCCTTCCGCCGCTGCATTCTGTGTCTGTTGATTACGCACTTGGACATGTATCATGCTGGGTTAGAATAAATAAAATACTTTACGTTTTCGTGAACTTCATTTGAGATTTAAGATCAAAGCGCTTCGTTTTATCTTCCTAACGAGATTGCTATTCAAGAAAAAGAAATGTCTTTACATAGCACTTCAGATTTTGAAATTAAAAAAAATAAAACTCCCACGTGGATGTTGAATTACACACAAAAGCTCTTTTCTGCATCAGGGCCTATGAAGGGCGGGGAAGGAAGTGAACTTTTATAGATTTAAGAATCTGGATATTTCTCATAAGAATCTCACTTCTTGTGACCCCAGGAAGATGTGGCGCTGGGGGTGCCCAGTGGCCCGGGTCAGGCTGCCCACTGCTGACAATGCATCAGCCAGTCACCAGCCTCCGGCCTGGTGTCCCCAGCCTGGCCCAGTTCCCTCCGTTTTGTTTTGTGACGTACCAGGCCCCTGGGGCTGTTTGGGAGCCAGGTTTATTTTTTATTTTTATTTTTTAAAGATTTTATCTATTTATTTATTCATGAGAGACACAGGGAGAGAGAGAGGCAGGGACACAGGCAGAGGGAGAAGCAGGCTCCACGCAGGGAGGCCCCCGCGGGATTCCATTCTGGGACCCGGGGGTCACGCCCTGGGCTGAAGGCAGGTGCCAGAGCGCTGAGCCACCGGGGCTGCCCTGGGAGCCCAGGTTTAGATGAATTCAGGCTGCAGTACGTCACCCTCGGTAGCTCTTTTCATTTTTATTTATTTTTTAAATACAACCCATTTTCATTTACTTTTTTATTTTTGAAGTAAGCTCTTAGCCCAACGTGGGGCTTGGGTTCGGGGCCCTCCAATCAGGGGGGCGTGCTGTCCACTGAGCCAGCCGGGTGCCCTCACGTGCCCTTTTTCAAGGCCTGCCCCGAGCCAGAGTCCCCACCCAAGGGGGCCGTGCGGGTGCCATGTGGGGGCCGTGGGGGTGCCGTGGGGTGCGGTGGGGGTGCCGCTGGGCCTGCCTCGGGCCTCCCTCGGGCCTCCCCGCTGGGAAAGCCAGTTGAAGGTTCTGGGCCTTGGGCCTTCACCCCGGCTGATGGCGGAGGAGCTCAGACTGCTGGTCCCCAGCTTCTCCTGTGACTCCTGTGACCGAAGTGGTGGCTTCACATATGCTGTGGTCCCGAAGAAAGGGAGGGAGGGAGGGAGGGACGGAGGGACGGAGGGAAGGCCTCCCGGGAGGATGCGGCTTGAGCCCGCCCCAGGGCGCTCCTGCGTCCTTACACTGGTTTCACTCGGGTTGGTCAAGTGTTGCGAGGGCCGGGAGGCCCCGTGGGAGAGGGAGGGGCAGGGGGAGGGCCGGGAGACCCCGTGGGGGAGGGGGAGGGCCGGGAGACCCCGTGGGGGAGGGGGAGGGCCCCGCGGGGGCAGGGGGAAGGCTGGGAGACCCCGTGGGAGAGGGGTACGGGTAGGGGTAGGGCCTATGGGGCGGGCCGGGAGCCCCTGTGGGGGGAGGGGGGCCCATGGTGGGGGAGGGGGAGGGCCGGGAGACCCCGGGGGAGATGGAGGGTCGGGAGCCCGGGGATAAGCTAGTGGCAGGTGGGGGGGCTGTTGCCGCGTGTCCCCTGCTTCCCGGGAGCTGGGTCACACGGGCGGCTGAGCCCGCAGCGACACCTCAGGGCGGTCTAACTGCAGCGGGACGGGCTGCGTAGACTGCGCGGAACCGCTTCCCTCCGCGGGGTTGAGACCCCCGAGCCCCGGGTGAGGGGGGGCGGGGCAGGCGGGTGGCCCGGAGGGGCCAGGGCTCGGCCACGGGGGGGCGGGGCGCCCTCTGCCCCAGGTCACCTCCCCTGGGGGGCCCCCGGGCCCGTGCGCCGAGGGTGTCCTTCCCGAGCTTTCTTGGGGTTAAAGCCGCGCGTGGGGCTGTGCAGATGGACCCACCGGCCCCTCCTCCTCCCCCACCTATTTATTTTTCCTTTTTCCCGGGGATATTATTCGTCAGGTCGCAGAGTGGGGACTTTGCCAGATGGATGTGAGTCCCGCAAGAGATTTTCTAAAATGGGAAAACCACAGGGTTCCTCAAAGCAGGCACCGCCACTTAGGGATCTCATCCTTGCGCTGGGGTCAGCTCACCTTTGCATGACCGAAAAACCTGGCTTAGTGTATGTTCAGGACAACCAGGGATGTAAAGATGCATTAAACTATTTTTTTAAAAAAAGGTTTTATTGACTTATTCATGAGAGACCCATAGAAAGACAGAGGCAGAGACCCAGGCAGAGGGAGAAGCAGGCTCCACGCGGGGAGCCCGACGCGGGACTAGAACCCAGGACCTGGGGTCATGTCCTGGGCCCAAGGCAGATGCTCCACCGCTGAGACCCCGGGCACCCCAAAATGCATTAAACCATTAAGGGGACAAACTGTTGACCTACACTCTGACCTATATATGGCTCCTTTAAAATTGCAATTAGACATTCGTTATTAATGCAGCTGTTCTGACAGCGAGCCCTTACCCGAAGCCCTAGGTGCAGCGTTTGTGCTGGAACGAAAAGCCGCGGCCACCAGAACCCCGTTTCCTGGGAGCCTTGTCGCAGCCCGTGGAACATCCGCGGCAGGAAGAGCCTTCTGGGTGTCAAGGAGCGGCGCCGCCTGGAGGAGACACGCGGGGTCGGGGCAGGTGGGCCAGGTGGGCCGCCCTGCAGCCTGCAGGTGAGGCCGCCCGGGGTCAGTACAAACATGCGGGGGGGGGGGGGGGGGGGGAGGACCGTGTCATCAGTCGCTGGGGCCACAGGTGACTCCCACGCACCTTGTGCTGCTGCGGTTCCACGTGGGAGGCCCACACCTCGCAGGTGTCCCCGGGGCGTCCTGAAGGTCCCCGGGCCCCAGTGACACTGCTCACTCTTTTTGGAGCCTGGTTTTTGCTCAGCCTCTTAGCCTCCTTTCCAGGGTTTCTCCTGCTTTTGTCTCCCACGGCACTTCTAATGTTTTTTGGTTACTTCCTTCAGATGTTACTGGCTCAACTTAGCCACTTTTTCAGGAACTTAAAAAAAAAAATGTGGTGGGTTTAGAAAACTTAGGAAATCCATCCATGTTACAGGTGGAGCCAGGAATCAGCTGTCGACTTGCAGGCTGATTTAAATACCTAATGGGGACATGGGGACAATCCCGGGAGGCTTTTGGACTGAACAACCAAAGTACAGGAATTTTGTTTGAATTTTTTTTTTGGGGGGAATGCTAATTAACCATGCCTCTCCCCAAACTTGACTTCCTATTATGCTCCACTTCATGTTTCCTTTCGGTGGATTACAATGAAGGGCCATTTTCTACATCACTGGGGTGGTCAACGAAACGTTAAAACGCCATTAAGTGGATGGACCTCCTCAGACTATAATTACAGTGGCTTTGAAGGTTTTATAAAGTAATCCAGTTTCTAAAATTAGCAATTAAAACTGCAACAATTTCTTTATGTAATGGTATGGTTTATTTAATTTTTAATAACAATGAGAGGACAAAATGTTTAAAATTTGCAGTTTAAAACATGCACATTCACAAAAGGCCAATGACACATAACACTGCATAGAACTGAGTATTACTCAACTTTAATAACTATTTATAAAACACAGTGCATTGAACATCGAGATAAACAAACCTGAGAAAACTATAATCACAGATTCAATAGTCTCCACTCATGCAGCTTCACAATTTCGACAGCAGTTTCAGCAGGAATGGTTTTTCATGGAGCTGAAAAAACTATTTTATCTTTAATGCAAACTTCGATTTTCCATAGTAGCTGCCTTCCAAGGCTGCCTTTTTTTTTTTAAACTTAATAAAGTTGAAAATGTGAAAAATGAAGCTTGAAGTAGCTAAATAAACAGCAAACAGTATTTACTGCATTTATGGCTTCTATTCTAGAACCATGAAACATAAAGATATTATTTTTTAATATTCTGCTCACGTTTTTGCAAGAGCAGATTTACCTATGGAAAGTTGCTGTTAATTCAAAGTAAGCATGTATGAAATCTAGCTTTTTTCCTACTTACGGGAGATTTATTTGCTGAGAAGTTTTGTGAGCTTTATTAAGGAAAGTTCTTAGAAGCAAGCTAAATAAAAGTTGCAATTAAATTTGTTTGTAAAATAATTTACTTATTAAAAAAAGTTGTGCAAAGAACCAATTAATTTGTCCACTGAATATTAAATTCCAGGTAGGCCATGATAGAATTTTATAAGGCAGAAATAAACATCAAGATTTACAGCAACAGCCATGCATTGGCCCAGGCCACTTTAAATATTAATTCATGCAAACCATAAACCTATCAAAAACACAGCTGCTTTCATACAGAAAATAAATCAAGACGAAAAATGGAAAACATTTATTTCCTTTCCTTCAAAGTTTAACTTACATTCCATTTTAATAGCCACTGAAGGTTAATTAAAATGCAGCAAAGTATAACTAAGTCTCACAAGTGACTTCAGTTATTTTAATGTGAGAAAAATCAGATTGTGATCTCTTAAAGAAGCATTATAGAAATGTTCATCATTAAAAAGCATTTATTAGGCACCGAACTGCATGGTGTTCATGAGTTTACAAAAAAAAGAACTCCACAGATCTGGTCCACATGATGTGAATGGGGTGGGTGTTGTCTCCATAAATTTTATAAATGGTTATTTATAAGATTATAGGCTTATTTGATAAAATAAGTTTTAGAACCAAGAACTGTCATAGGGCACTGCACAAAAATATACACTGATGATCATTTAGTATGGTAACCGTTGGGACATTGCTACAAATAATTTAAAAACTACAAATATACAATCTATTACTTTCAGACTAGCATCCGTTTCCTGGAAGGATGTTTTAAATGGCAAGTGATAGGTGATGCAGAGCGCACACACCGCGGAACAAATTTATCATGTGATGTTCGTATTTGATATTTAGAATGCTAAATGGCAAAATTAAAATGTACAGCCTAACAATCGGAATAAATGTTGATTTCTGGAATTCAGCTTTCCCTCCGAAAATTAAGAGGAATCACTGACTCCATTCAGTGACTATATAATTCGTGTAAGTGAATAATATTGTTGATTAAGAATCCACGTTCACCTGACTTGATTAGAAAAAAGGGTTTCCGTTAGCTTTGCAACACTGCCGAGCCCGTTCACACCAGCCTCCGAGCGGGGGGGGTGGGAGGCTTGGGCAGCACAGAGAACATCTTAAATTTGCTACATTCCTGAGAAACAGCCATTCTCCAGTTAACAATTTCTGCCCTATTCTAGCATCTCTCCGGGTGTGAGCCACCAATATATTTTTATGTGTAAATATAAAACATTTAGAAAGTTCACGCTCGATATCGCGGTGCACTATTCAACATTAAAGAAGCCAACTCGCAGCTTTTCAATGTTAAATGAATGAGGATATTCTGCCGTCGTATTTTCTGAACTGTAAACATTGTAAAGCAACGGTGTTAGCATTTGCCAAGTCCCTACAAGGGCTTTTTAATTGAAGAGTATGTGTCCTCCATTTCAGAAAATACAAGTTAAAAAGTCACTTCAGCTGTTTCAATCCTGGCAAAACTGCTACTTTCCCCCTCCTCTTAGGAAGGTTAAAAAATCAGAGGTTTCCTCTAACGGGAGGAAGTCCCTGCGACTGCAGTGCTGTGTTTTAAGTTTTACCAACGAGGTCACTCCCTGTTGCCCAACCCCCTCTCTCACCCAGGGACCAGAGGAATTGACTTAATAATTCAAAAATAGGACTATGGGACAAAAAGACATAAATTGGCCCTATTTCAGACCACGATCTCATGCATTACTTAACCGGGGGCATTTTACTCACGTTGAAGAGCTCCATAGAAATAATCCATGTTTTAAGATCAAAAAGAAAACTTTTACTTTTTTTTTTTTTTGGCCAGAAAATTCATTTCTGTTATATTCATCCTATTTTGATATGAACATTTTGGAGAAGGATGCCGCTGATGAGGTGGAGGCAAGTGGACGTAGCTCTTGTCTGTAACTGCTCTCCAGTGTTTCTCTGCAGGGACACGCTTCATTCTTGTTTTTTGATTTGTGTCGTTTGACCTCGACTGTCATCACTGGGGGGCCCAGGAGCCTCTCTGAATATTCATTCAGTAGACAAAAATCTCCGACTTCAGAGTTTTGAAGCTGGTCTTAGGCTGTTAACACCCCTGGTCTTTCTAGGTGTTTCGATTCACGGTTTTCTTACTCTCAACCCCGAATGGGAACGGTCTGGGAAGTGACCTGTGTCACCTCCCTGCCCCCTCTAGAATTATGTATGTGTTATGACCTCTCTTATTTCAAGAAAACGGGGGAGGACCAAGTAACTACGAATACAGAGAAGGAAATGACGTGGAACCTAATTCTAAATCTAGACTAAGAAAAAGGGTAAAAAGAATGTGGAATTATATTAGACTCAAAGTGCGACCTGGAAAATCACCTCTCTTCACAATTCCAGTTGACTTTTTTTTTTTTTTTGAAAAGAGGAAGTTCCACCTATTTTGCTGGTAAGTCCACTTAAAGGCAAACAGGCTTCTGAATAAAAGGCAAAAAGTTTGCTTCGATCTCTGAAGTGTATCTGAAAACTAGAATTCCTTTTTATTTGATTTTCTTTTAAATGAGAGCATTATTTTAAAAATAGTATAGAAAACTGGTTGCGGTTTTTAAACAGCCCCTTCACCATTTATTGTCGGTAGCAAAATAGGCATTTGCAGGAGATGTCTGGGAAATGCCGAAAATGCTTAAACTAACATACATTTAAAGACCTAGTAACAGAAGCTACTTGGGGTGAAGACCGACTTTGGCGGTAAACTTACGGGTCTGAGTCCGACAGGTGTTCCTGTGTCCCACGGATCTGTCCCAGTTAGCAGCACATTAGTGTGAGTGGTTCTGGGGAGCCGCTCGACAAGCCCGGGGGGTGCTACGCACACAGCAGGCGACACGGGACAAAAGCCGAGCCCGGGGACATCACAGAAGCCCATGCACTTATCCCAAGGGGTACCCGAAGCTCCCCGTGTAAGCCCGCGGATCCCACACCAATACGGAAGCGTGTTTTGCTCGAGGGGGGAAACTGTAAGACAAAGTGACGGCGCTCAGTCTTCAGCAGAAGCCAGATCTCTAGAAAAATCTACACGAGGAGGACACCTCCTCGGAGCTGATGGGGAGACAAACACGGCTTAGAAATCAGGACTACGACAGCAGCATCACGTTGCCCGTGGGCCCTCCAGCGCCGACGAGTGAACGAGACAAACGAGACAGAAGCATCTGTAAGGCCAGAGGTGCGACATCACAGAGGTTAGTAGCAAATGCCTTGAAATACTCATTTTTGCGGATCACTTCTTACATCTGAAGAGTCAAGCATGCGGATCTTACAGCAGAACTGGAGGTATACGCTCTCTTAGTTTCTGGGCAAATGACTACGGGGTGGGAAATACACGTACTGAGCGTCTTTGGCAAACACTGATCAGGACGGTTTTTGACACAAACACTTATTAATGTCTTGTTTAGAAATTTTGCTCAGTGAGGGCAGTCAGTTCCTTAGAGAAGAGCGCTGGCTTTTTTCAGCATGTTCTGGAATCTAAGTCTGGATATCAAGAGTCCCTTTAAATTATTACCACTTTAGAGGGTTTTTTTTTTTTTAATGGTCGGTCGCCTTGTGGGTTTATATCTGCTGAACAGCCTAAGACTTACTGACCTATCCTCAGCTTAGGAAAGTGTTCAGGCAAGGTACAAGGTCATTTTCACCTTCTGCTTACAAAGACTCAGCGAACATTTGAAAAAATCTGAACGAGATGGTGTTAGAGTGGCACAGGGTACTGTGGGATGGGCACGGATCTGACGGTCGGCCGATGGGATGAGCTCAGATCCCCTTCCCCTTCCTTGCGCCAGACTGGGATCGGCCGGCAGGTTCCGGAAAGACCTGGGAGCTCCCCGTGCCATCACCACTCGTCGGGTCTCTGCTTCGTGGTGTCATAGGCTCTGATCACCTCAGACTGGGACACGATTCCGTTCTCGTCTTGTGAGAAAGCATACCCATCTGTAAGTGGAGGACAAGACAGAAATGATCACTGGGAAGTCACTGGGCAGGTCTGTCGCAGAGCTCCCAGGGCTCCTGCTCTAACTCGGGGCCCCATATGCCCGCCTGCCTTCTGCAGCACGAAGGAGACACAGGTTTTCTTACGTCCCCCAAAGATGACCCTACTGCACCCTGAGGCTCGGGCTGGCGGAGAGGCTGTGACCGCTTTGCCGCCCCCACTGCCCTGGGTGGCTGAGCAGGTGCTCGCAGCCCCCCCCCCCGTCCCGGGTCTCCTCTTGGCATCTCAAATCCGAGCCATCCGACTTCTGCTCCCAGGCCACTGGAGGGGGTGTCGGCTGTAGGGGTGCACGCTCTTCCTCCATCCAGATCACTGGACCGGAGACAAGCGAGAATGGGAAGGAGGCAGAGATGAACTGCGGGTGCCGGAAAAGGGGTCCCCTTCCTCAGGATGACACCGTCCTCGGCTCTCAGCATCCACAGAGAAACTCACTCTTGCCCCAGCATGGTCGGGGATAAGCCACGACCTGCCCCCACCCCCCACCCCCTGCACCAGGGACGGGGTCACATCTCTAGAAAAGGCCTCCTGAAGTACAAAAGGCAAGGGCATTAAACATGACTATAAAGATAAGTGAAAATAAATCACATGTGGAAACAACATGAAACAAAAGACAGATCACTAATATGAACCCATGCGCCACAGGGCTTTATATATTATATTCTTTTTTAGATCCTTGAAATGCTAAGAGGGCCCGATACCTAATAATTTCTTACAGCTCTGAAGATTCATAAATTTTTTTTTTGGGGGGGGGGATAGATGTTTCGCTGCGCTGAGCGAAAGCCGCCAAAGCCTTTGCAGAGTTATTCAAGTAGAAAAGATAACAATACAGAGGGGGCTTTTAGGAGTCAAGATTTATTCCACTAGTTCTTTTTTTTCGGATTTAAGGAAGCAAGGGGGCATGCGGAAATAGTATTTCTTCAAGGGCCAGCAGCAAGACGTTAAGCTGCTTTGTCTTTGCTACTGTGAGGGAGCGGGCTGCAGTCACTAGCTCTCCTCACGCTGGGTATTTACCTAAGGGTCGCGAATCAGCAAGGCCCGTGGCAGGTATTACGTAGTTGGGCGTCCCTCAAAACCGAAATGCTGCACCCCTGAAAGCTGAAGCCCCACAATCTATGTACGGGCAATCTACCTACGAGTCACGGCTCAGATACTCACGGAGCAGGTTTTGTTGCAAGGACTCCGAGCGGTACAAGTTCACGTGGTTCTTCTTAAAGACGTTCTTGAGCAGTTGCGCCCTCTCCGTGAGGCTGCGGAGCAGGTGCAAATGTGTGAAATGAATTATCGACTCGCCAGAGACCCCGGTGTGCCCACAGGACCACCAGAGAGTCAGCCTTAGACAAAAGCTTGCCTGAGAAGTCCGCGGCCTAGGGATTCTTTTTACCCCATTTTCTCAGATGGCAAATGAGATTTAAAGTATTTAGATACGTTCGAGGGCGGTTTTTCCCATAGCTGAGGAGAGTTTTGTTCCCAATAATCCAGCCAAAAGATTTCCCCACCCCCCAGTTAAACTAAAGTCAGAGGGGATACAGAACCTGTACAACACAATTAACAAAACAAAAAAACAAAACAAAAAAAAAAAACCAAAACCAAATCGGCCAGGAGTTTCGTTGACCTCTAAAAATCTCGCTTGACTTACCACGTACGTTCTGAGCGTGGCATTTTTTTGAGTCACAAAAAGATTACCGTGCATCTTTTTACGACTTTGCACGTATTTCGGGGTAAGCTACTATTTTATTTTATTTTTTAGTTATGTAAAGAAATCCTAAAAAATTACACAAGGAAGAAATTTCATAGACTTTTTAACCAGAAAAGTTCCATTACCACTCCAATAGGAAATGTGTTCCTTGATTTCATAAAAAAAAAAGGAAGAAAAAAAGAAAAAACTATTTTCAGAAAGTACTAGGTAAGATGACAAGGAAAATATTTATCTTTCGATAAACGTTTAGAATCATCTCCACAGGAACAAATCCATGTAATTAATTATGTGACTTCTAAACGCACACTGCAAGAAATAACGCATCTGGTTTTTTCCACGGCACATAGAACGGTGTCTCCCACAGCAGGAAGCCAATTATTTGTCAAATAAATGAATCCGACCAATTATTGTGAAACACACTTTAAATATCACCAGTCCTCCCAATCATGCCACTTCTCCAACGGTTTAGCGAATTTTGCTTTGATACCAAAGAACGCTAATAAGCCTAAAGAGCTAATAAGTAATAATCCACATGTGTTACAGCAAATGTTTATGCAATTTTGTTTTAATCACTGGAATGGACTCAGCTGAAAAATTTCCATCTTGTGTTTTTCCCACTATGAAAGTCTCCGTTAAATTGTTCTTAGTTATGTCAGCTCTGTATTTTGCCAAATTTTTCGAAATCCTGAAAGCGAACAGTTTTCATCACACACACAAAATAAAAGGATCATCTGCAGAACGAACTTGGAATCACACAAACATTTACGCGTTCGCCGAAGTAAAATATTTAGAAACGCTGACATCTGTAGTTATCTTCCACACATATTTTTTTAAAATCTAGGGATGTTAACTGGCACTTATTAGGCATACTTCATTGTCACTGGGAATTAGCTACGTTAAGGCAAAAAAAAAAAACTAAATAATCTAAAACGCCAGTGGTTTTGCAAACAGTTGTAAAACTTTGTTTTTTTATCAGTGAAACAAACAGGCACGGGGAGCGAGAAGACGGGCCGTTTTTAGAGTCCCTTGTCTTACTCTGTTCTTAACATGATCTAACGTTACAGACCCGGGGACCCCGAGGAGCACTAAAATATCTAAGTGCTTTGAGGAACTCGGCAGCTTTAGCAGCAGGTGGTCTGCTTTTGTTCGCGGACAGAGGACGGGGTGCTGGGCAGTCTCAGGGGCTCAGGAGGGAAATGACTGGGGCCGTGCCAGGACGACCACCTACGTCCTGGGGCCGCTTCTCCCCAAAACACATTTTCCAGGTTTCAGGCTGGCCTTCCTGCAATGCCCAATACTGGAATATCGCAACACGAAACGCTCAGGAGACAGATGGGAGAGCTTCGTCGTGCACGCTGGGAAACCTCCGAGTGAGATGTGGCGCGTAGGGGGCTACGCAGGGCCCCGGCTGACTGTCCAGGTCATGTCTGGGGCTCCGGAAAGAGAGAAAGCGCAGCAAGAAGGCTTCTTGGAAAGGAGCACAATACTGGGGACCGAGCCTGGGCTTTGGAGTCCTTCAACCACCCCCCCCCCGCCCCGGCAAGCCCCCCGACCTCTCATCCACACCCGGAGGACAATCGCCGGCCCCCAGGCCAACGGTGGGCATTCGGGGTGACAGGTGCTCGGAAGCACTCAATGAACACTAACCCTCTCCACCTTTCCCACGGCCCCAGCTCCCGAGGAATTTATCACACGCACAAAAAAATCACCCAGAACAGAGACGGTCCCAAAACAACAAGACGACTTTGTGAGGATCCTTCCCGAGGCCCCGGCGTGGAGTCAACGTCGGCTCCACACGACGCGTCTCCTGCACCGGAGTTTTAGTCTAATGTCCCCACTAGGAAAAGTACTAGGGTTTCTGTGTGTGTTTTTCCCTGAGCTCACTGAGCCCCTTGCCTTGGTTCTTGTAGGGCGGAGTCCCTCCTGCGAAACCCAAGAGCCCCCCACGGGATGGTGCTGAGTAACAAGGAGCAATGATGATGATGATGATGATGATGATGATGATGACGACGATGACGATGGGGCTCTAGCCTTCTCCTACCCCTTTCGGGAGCGACTCATCGTTTCAAAATGACGTAGTTCTCAGCGCTTCTTAGGGGCACCGCTGCTCCTGTCAAGTCACATTATACGGTCTACGGGCAACACGGCCACATTAACACACACGTTGAAACTTGGGTCTTTCTAGACTAGCTTAGTGCTGCGAGAAGGAGAAAAAGACTTGGAGAACTGCTCGTGTAAAGACCCCATCTTAATCACGGCTCTGAGTCCCTAGTGTTAATTTTGTGTGGTTTTTCATTTACGTGCCATGCTTTGCAAATTCAAAATTTGCTCAATGCAATTACGCAAGTGCCACTTAAACACCGTCCCCTTATTTCCAAGCCCATGAAAATGTTTCAGCTTCAGAATCTGGTAGAGGTAAGGTGGCTTTTTTCTTTTTTTTTGAAGACTTTATTTATTTATCCATGAGAGACACAGAGAGAGGGGCAGAGACCCAGGCAGAGGGAGAAGCAGGCTCCACGCAGGACTTGATCCCAGGACCCCGGGGTCACGCCCTGAGCCAAAAGCAGATGCTCAACCCCTGAGCCCCACAGGCGTCCCAGAGGTAAGGTGTTTCAAAACACCGTGTTTTAACATAAGACTTCATTTAGAAACATGAAGCATAGGCAAAAACCTATTTACGGTCTCGGAACACGTTGCCTTCAGGTATTTTCAGTAGGTTTTGAAGAGCGGTTAATTCGCGATGGTCTTTATGCTGGGCTGGCAAGCTCTTCTGGTTGACTCATTAAAACGGATCCCCCGAGAGTGGAGGATGCACCATCCGCGGAACGTGTTAGTGTAGGGACAGGACGGCCACCCCGGCCTGTGCTCCGGAGGAGAGAACACGTCACACTCCTCCACTTCCCTTTACAAATGCCGGACACAAGGGCTCCCATCGTGGGAAGGTGTTGGGAGAAGAAATGCAAGTCTTCCCTCTGACCACTGGTTTTGGTGAAGAAAACGACGTCTATGCTATGAATCCGTGTTTTTGCCGTTACTTTTTTGCAGACAGGCTCCAACCCTACGGAGCCTAAGCATCTATAATTCCAAGATGCAAAAAACAAACAAACAAAAAAACAAAAACAAAAACAAAAACAAAACAAAAAAACCCCAAAACTTAGAAATTCAATTTTTTTTTCCTGTAGGACAAAGCTTTAGCTTTAGCTTAGGGCAAAACGCTGGGTACGTGCTCCTATCCTAGACCTCTGCCGAGATTCCGTATGTAACATGGATACAAATCCATGGGGAAACTGAGCAATATAGTTCCTTTTCTGTTGGCTGGGGCGCAATGTAAAAATGGCTGTTTTGAAAGATAAATAATACAGAGCAAGGTTGAAAGAGGCCACCGTCGCCGTCCGCAAGGCCAAATGACCTGACCTCTAGACTTCCGTGCTCTGTCTTTAAAGCTAAGGGCACAGTGATGGACAAATTAAGGAGGAATCACCCGAAGATCCTAGGGTAAAACTATTTATTTAGTAATGGCTGCTGCTGCTGTGCTGGCTGACGTCTACAGTCAGATATAAAAAAATTATGGGGGTGCCCGGGGGCTCAGCAGTTGAGCATCTGCCTTCGGCCCAGGGGTCCCGGGATCGAGTCCAGCATCGGGCTCCCAGCAGGGAGCCTGCTTCTCCCTCTGCCTGGGTTTCTGCCTCTCTCTCTCTCTCTGGGTCTCTCAGGAATAAATACATAGAATCTTTAAAAAAAAAAAAAAAGATGGCTCTCATGATGGTATTTGCCTGTCTGTAGGATGCCCTCCTTCCCACACTCATGAAAGGCGTCCAGAGGTGGCTGCCCTGCCCAAGCCCAGGGTCTACGATTCCTTATTTTAAAGCACTGGGGTTTTGAATTCACATTTGTTTTTGTTACAGTTTTGTTTCTAGAAAAAGTGAGATGTCACACACAACTTATAGATGTAATACCCCCAGTGAGATCCCAGAGGCCCATATTCCAAAAAATTTACATTTTATGCTATAAAGTGCATAAATATTTACACTACAGAAAAACATAAACACCATTAATGCCTCTATATTTATAGAACAAACAGTTTTAGGTTTTTCCAGCAAATGTTTGCTATGAACCTAAGGGGAAAAAATTGAATTCCAATCTTTTTTTTTTTTTTTTTTTTGCATCTTGGAATTATAGATGCCTAGGCTCCCTAGTGTTGGAGCCTGTCTGCAAAAAGTAACAGCAAAAACCGGGTCTCATAGCATAGACGTTGTTTTCTTCACCAAAACCAGTAAGCCAACAGCTACACAGAGGTCAGAGGTAAGACGTGCATTCATTCTCCCAACACCTTAAACTGATTTCTACCGCGACCCGAGGTTCAACAGCAGTATTACTGGACTCGGGCGATGAGCTACATCTCCCTCCCCCCAATTCCCATGTTCAATTGGAATGAATATATGTAATTCTCTGGATAGTACGGTGAGGGACCTAGCATTTCTGCTAACACAAGATTGTTTTAACCAAAACGTTTTAGTTCTTGAACACGAGCACATACGAGAAATACATGATCGTGAAAGCTAATCTGGACACAGTGCTTAGAAGTTACGGTTCCTCTGATGCAGTTTCCCTTTGGGTGGAGCCCGACTCCACCGTAGCGCTTGGTGGAGGCGGCAAAAAACTGGGGCTGGGGCGCCTGGGGGGCTCCATGGGTTGAGCGTCTGCCCTCAGCTCAGGTCGTGATCCCAGGGTCCCGGGGTCCCAGGGTCGAGCCCCTGGTCGGGCTCCCTGCTCCGCGGGGAGTCTGCTTCTCCCTCTCCCTGCACCCATTCCCCTCTGCTCGTGCCTCTTTCTCTGTCAATTAAATAAAATCTTAAAAAAAAAAAAGACTACTAGTCAAGAAAAACGAAAAAAAAAATCGGGGCCGATCAACTTACAAGACCGTTACCACTTCCATCTAGGTGAGAGGTCAGCCACGGCTACCTCGGATGACTCGTTCGGGAGATGGAACCTATGTGGGGTTCTATGTTCTTCTGAATCGTGTTTTTATTGAGACTACCCACGGGTCAGTCATTTATTTATCACCCACTACTCAGCCATTCTTTCACCTGTTTGTTTGTTTGTTCGTTCATTCATTCATTCATTCATTCATCCATTCATTCACTCCTCCGTTTGTGCCCTGGACCATCCGATTGCCCATCGCGCGCTACGGTGTTCCTGGATCTGCGCTAGGTACTGGGTCACGGTTCAGACTGACAAGGAGGCTGCTTCTTCAAGGCCCTCAGTCCAGTGGGAGAAACTGAGACACACGGTAAACACACACACTGTAATACCTGTAACAACAGGAGCACGAGGCGCTCAGACAGTAGAGTAGGAACTAACTTCACCCCAGGAAAGGCGAGGTAATCGCACCTGAGTTGAGCTTTGAGAATTGTCGGGATTAGACCGCCCGTCTGTAGGAGGGCATCAGCTTCTCAACACGGGAGCAGCAGGTGCGAAGGCAGGGGGGTGTACAATAACCCGGTGTTCTGCAACCAAAATAGGTCTGATATCGCTCGAACACGCAGAAATCACGATTTTCTCCTCTTTGGAAACGTAGATAAGATGAGCTAACTTTTTTGAGATTTTACATCAATCTCATTCTCCGAGGTTCCTAATGTCACCGTGTCCGCGGGGCACCTGCGAGTCTTGATCTCGGGGTTGTGAGCGCGCGAGCCCCACATTGGGTGTAGAGATTTCTTACAAATAAAGTCTCAAAAAAAAAAATGATCCTGGCAGCGAAATCCATGTGACGATTCCTAGTTGCTCTAGAACGTTGTTATTCCGAGCGGAGACTTTTCCGAGCAGTCACCATTCTCTTGCCCTCACGGGCCCCTTGGTTCCTCTCCGGCAGCCAGTGCCCCGCAGGAGGGCGCAGCATCTGCATCAGGGGCCGTGGGGCCTCCCCGGGCCTCGTCTGTGGCCTTCAGCTGACAGCAAACTCGTTCCTGAGAAAGGCTGAGCCGTCACTGTAGGCAAATGACGCAGCCGCGGAAACTTACCTGCGCACCCTCTATGGGAAAGCTGCTCGTTTATGGTGGAGCTCACGTCATTCCTTTCAGGCTCTCTCTCTCTTTTTTATTAATCTCTACACCCAACGTTGAGTCCAAACTCACAACCCAACATTAAGAGCCACATGGTCTACCTACTGAGCCAGTCAGGTGCTCCTCTGACTTATTTTTTAAAGATTTATTTTAGAGAGACAGCGAGCGAGCGAGCAGGTAAATGTTGGGGGGGGGGCAGGAGGAGAAGGAGGCTCCCCGCCAAGCAGGGAGCCCTGACGTGGGGCTCGATCTCACGACCCTGAGGTCATGACCGGAGCCAAAATCAAGAGTTGGACGCTCAACCAACTGACCACCCAGGGGCCCCTCTGACTTATTTTTTTTTTTTTTTGTGGCAGGAGCGGCCCACATGGCAGAGCCACTGAGTCACCAGAACACGAGGTCACATCACAACCTCAGCTCGACTCCTGCACTGCCGGAGTCGCCCACGTGCTAGGAGCCGGGACGAGCAGGGATCCCACGCAGGCCTTGACCCGGGCCTTGACCTAAGGCCTGTGCGCACGCTCCCAGGTACAAGCAATGTCCCGCTAGGGGCAGTGACAGCACGGGCCCCCCTCACGGTCCTCAGTCTACAGTCTGAGTCACGATTTTGGGAGCTCGGGTCCTGCACGTCCCTGTGGCAGCTACAGTGAGAGAGAGAAGGTTGGCGGAGCGACCCTCTGTGGCAGCAGCGGACCAGACGGGGACGGCGCGGGGAGCGGAGCTCAGAACTCTCAAAGTAGGGGTTTTCCTTTCTTTCTCCCTTTCTTTCTCTTTCTTTCCTTTTCTCTTTCTTTCTTCTTTTTCTTTCTTTCTTTCTTTCTTTCTCTTTCTCTTTTTTCTTTTTTCCTTCCTCTTTCTCTTTCCTTCCTTCTTTCCTTCCTTCTTTCCTTCCTTCCTTCCTTCCTTCCTTCCTTCCTCTTTCTTTCTTTCTTTCTTTCTTTCTTTCTTTCTTTCTTTCTCCTTCCTTCCTTTCTATTTTCTTTCTTTCTTTCCTTCCTTCCTTTCTTTCCTTCCTTCCTTCCTTTCTCTTTATTTTCTTTCTCTTTCCTTCCTTCCTTCTTTCTTTTTTCCTTCCTTCCTTTCTCTTTCTCTTTCTATCCTTCCTTCCTTTTTTCTTCCTTCCTTCATTTTTTCTTTCTTTTCTTTTCTTTTCTTTTCTTTTTTTTCTTTTCTTTCTTTTTTCTTCTTTCTTAATTTATTTATTCTTGAGAGACACACAGAGAGAGGCAGAGACACAGGCAGAGGGAGAAGCAGGCTCCTTGCGGGGGTCTGACATGGGATTTGATCCCAGAACCCTGGGGTCATGCCCTGAGCCCGAGGCAGATGCCCAACCACTGAGCCCCCCAGGGTCCAACCCAGGGACGCCAACCCAGAGGAGGGCAAGAGGTTAAGCACGCAGCCAGGCTGGCAGGGGCTGTTTTTGCTGGTATCCCTTAGTCTTGGAAGACAGCAAAGGGGGGAGAAGAGTGAATGGGTAGGAGCAGGTGCCCCAGAATTGGTCGATGTGGGCTCGAGGCCCTGCTTTGTGATTTCTGAGTGAGAACTGCAACTCCCAGTTTCCTCCTCTGGGAAGAACGGGGTGATTAATCTGTCTGGGATCCTGGGGGGATCCCATGGGCAGCGTGTGTGCAGCGCCCAGCACCCAGGGAGTGCTCTGTGAGTGGCAGACACACACGTGTTGCCTGTGGTGTAGACTAAGCCTGAGCCCCCTTCCTGCACCTGACTCCGCCATCATCTTGTTATCACGGACCGTCTCCGAATCCTTCAGATTCCTTTCCGAAAATGTTTTGTGACCGCGGTGAACTTGATCAGTTTCCGACACTGTTTGGCTGGGGCGGCGGTGCAGGAGGGACCCGGGCGACAGGCCACGGCACCCGGACGCACGCGGGCTCCGTCCCCAGCGCAGCACACGCTGCCCTGTATCCGCGCTCATTTCCATCACCTACTATTTTGTTACGGAAATTGTTTCAAGCTAAAAGACTTTTTGTTTTTTACCCCCTTTCATTTTAATAATACAATAATATTTATAATGACCATTAATTTAAGGCGCATGAAGACCAGACACCTAGATACCTGCTTCGTCGATTATATCTTATTTAATTCTAAAAATGAGCCATGAGGGAAGTATTATTATCCCCATTTTATAGGCGAGAAAGTTGAGGCTCAAGGGCATTGAGCCACTTGGCTCAGGTCACACAGCTCAGTGAAGGACGGAGTTGATCTCAATCCACGTCCCTCTGATTCTGAAATGGGTCATCGACACTGCCAGCCTCATCTTAGGTGATAAATAGGAGTTTTACCACTTACTTCTAAGTTTTACCGCCTATTTCTTACCACCAGTAAAACCTAAAGTTCTCTTGGGGAAGAACATGTTTGATGGGCACTTTACCTTTTTCCAAGCACAACTGCACCTGGGTCTTGAGATTTCGCCTCCAGCTCCTGAACCTCATCTACTAAGGTTTTAAAAGCAGTCCTCTTGATGCTGGAGGGACAGAAAAAAGCATTTGCATGTAAATCTTTGTGTGCAGACTTTGTAACACTTTGCAAAACTGGTTTATTATGTGCTGCTAGGTACAACAGGAACCCGAGTACAGGCAAGCATTTTTCAATAGAATCTAAAAAAAAAAAAATCACAGTAATTTGGAGCATTATGTAATTACAGAAACAACAGTCTTCCAAGGAATGGTTTAGATTTATACTATTAAAGCTCTCACAGTTCTTCTTATTTTTTTTTCAGCTCTTACAGTTCTTAAAAAAAGTCATGTAATTAACTTTAATGATATCTTTTTTTTTGTGGGAAGAGATACCATTTTTAAAACTGATAGTCCTTGAGGAAAACTAAAGTTTTTGTTTCATTCCAGTTTCTTCTAATCAAGTTTTAGTTTCTTCCTATCTATATTGTACCTTGCTTTGAAAAAGGTAGGTAAAAACCTTTTTTTCCCCCACAACTACTGTTCATTAATAAAATATATGTGTTTTGAGATAACAGATTTTTCTTCTACCTTGAATGGATTTTTTTTTTGAATGGATTTTTTGAGCTGATTTCTTTCTTTCTTTCTTTCTTTCTTTCTTTCTTTCTTTCTTTCTTCTTTCTTTTCTTTCTTTTTTAAAGATTTTATTTATTTATTCATGAGAAACAGAGAGAGAGAGAGGCAGAGACACAGGCAGAGGGAGAAGCAGGGTCCCTGCGGGAGCCCGACTCGGGACTCGATCCCGGGACCCCAGGATCACACCCTGAGCCGAAGGCAGACGCTCCCAGGCGTTCCTCGAGCTGATTTCTAACAGTGTACTGTTTAATATTCATTGAAAGTACTTGCTTTACTTCTCATTCCATCTTCACACTAATTTCCTAATTCCTTAGTCACTCATTTCTTCATTTACAGATGCACAATTAATTAATATTACTAATTCCCACTTTGTGAACTCTACATCCTTGGCCTGATGTTATAAATCGGAGTCCTCTGAGGACTAATATACATCTACATTTTTGCGTATATAACTGAGAACTATACTCACACTTTGTACACCACATCAAGAAGTAATGATGCCACAGGGATGAACAACAGGCCCATCCAGAAGACGCCGGAACTGAACAGCATGGCAGCCTGAGGAGACCATCAGAAACGACATTATCTGAGCAACCAAGACGCACATCATTCATGTTTAGTTTTCATACGATTTTAGGTAAAATAATTTTTAAAAATCTCACTCTGCGAGAGGATAAACAAGGACTTTAAATCCAAACTTGTGCACGATGTGGAATTAAAAGCCAAATGTGTTAAGACATTTCTTTACTACATCTCTTTGTTTCCCCCTTAAGCAGCTAATAGAGCAAGGTTTTATCATGTGCCAAATGTTTTCATACTTTTTTACGTGAGGTTTTTATTACTGCGGTCAATATGCGAAGTAATAAACTCTGACCTTTTTTTATAACATAGAATATCAAAACCAAACTTTTGGAGCAAATTTCAAATAGTACTCTGGCTTACATTCTCTTATAATACAACATGTAAATTAAATCCTACTTAGAAACCAAATTTACTATTCCTGGCAAATAAAAATTAACTTTTGTAAAATATTAGACAAATTTAAAAAAATCATCCAGATAAACCACGATACAGTATAGTCAAATTAATATATCTACATTAGAACAAAATTTGGTTCAAAGATTTACATGACTATTGGTATGTCCTGTTACTGCGAAAGTCAAACCAAGTATCTAGTGTGTAAACCCCAAATAACAGTGTATTAAAAATAATTTCAACCATTCCTCTGTATTAAATAACAAATCACTATATCAGAAACTTTCAGGTTGCAAAGAAAATGATTCTATGGCTAAACAATTAATAAATCTATTAGCTATTTGCAATTATAATAAAATAAAATCCCTCTGTAATATAATCAGATTACACGGAGTTTAAAAGGAGTATGTCATACAATAAAATCAAAATAAATATTTTGTTTCACTTTGAGGCTATTTATCAGACTAAATTTGCAGTGCCCACTCAAGCGCATAAATATATTGCTGCGACTCCGTTAAAAAGCCGTCAACTCATGCATGCACATTTATACTCTGCTCAAAATCACAAGAATTTTTTTTCTTTAAATTAAGCGTGGTTCGGGAGTTAAAAATGACCTACAGTTTCTTATGGTGTTAACGATCCTAATCAATCTTTGCCTAATATGAGGATCACTAATTTTAAATTAAGTTAGAGATTTTTAAACTAAGTTTGAGATTACCTATCCGTTTTGACGACCAACGGAAGACCAGGAACGGTTGCCTTTTTTTTTTTTTTTTTGCATTAAACAGGGCCTCATTGAGATAGCCTGTCAGTTCAAGGATGTTATGGTCTTTTTTCCCCCTTATATAGGATTAAATAGCTCTGAGCATGTTTAAAAAGATGCCATTACAAAAGAATTTCAGAAAATAAATGTGGCCACGTGGATTCAGTGAAACAGCACCTATATTCTAGACACCAACAAGATGAAAAATATTCACATAAAAGTCACTTTATTTTATAAGCAAAGCATGATATTCAACATGTTTGCTGACATCTTCAATAGTGAAAACCAACAATTACTATGTAATAGGAAATGTCTATCAAATCAGTGGGTTTTGTTTAGATTGAAGGAAGCTTTTTAGTGAGGTAACTGCAAAAAAAAAAATAGCAAAAAAAAGCAAAAAAAAAAAAAAAAAGAAGGTCAAACACACACAAACCCAACTACATTTCTTTTTCCTTCTGGGGTGAAAGGTGGATAAGAGTCTAAGTCCTGCAACTGAAAATGCCTCATTTGCTTGCCTTCATTTTAATCTATTTTAGTTTAGGGGCAAAGGAAGAACGATTTATGCCTGCCTTTGCCACCTTGTACTAAACGTCGCTGGTGGAAAAGGCAAAAGTGGTGGTGGAGTCTCTGGGCTGCTAATTCTGACCATTGTGATGTTAACTATGAATGGGAAGCAACTGGCGCCCACTATTCAGTCCACCAGCCTTTGGCTTTACAAATGAACAACGTGAATTGAGGGGAAAAAAGTTTTTCTGCGTCATATCTGAAAGCCTGTCAGATTTTTTTTCTTTTGCAGAGTTAATCCAAACCTAAAAGATTTAAAGCCGACATTCGCATTAAAGACAGAGTCTCTTTGTATTTTTTGGATGGAGAAGGGAGGGGAAGAGAAAAAAATAAAATCCCACAGAGGTATTTCCTTCCTTTCTGTAGAGAAAGCTCCCCCTCAGTCTGTAGAGACCAGTTTTGTCTCTAACTTTTCACACGTCACCCCGCAGGCAGGTCGGGGAAGGCGCCCAGACAATGGGGCCGCGGGCTCCCCCCACAGTGGAGAGCTGGGGGGGGTCATGGCCAGCAGCCCCCTGACCCCCCCAGGCCCCTCTGGCCAAATGGAATGTGGGGGCCCTGGGGGGCCCCCCAGCAAGGCCGGCGAGTGGAGGCCCCGCCCCTGCCCCAGCCACCCCGGGGCTGCCGTGGCCCAGATGGGGCGCCAGGGACCAGGGGTAGCTCGACCCCGCTGCCGGGGGTGGGGGGGGTTGGGGGGGTGGGGGTCTGCACAGCGGAGCGCGGGCCTAGGTGCCTCCGGGCCAGGCAGGGGCCCTGGGTGGGGGCCGCCCCTCCGACCGCACCACGGGGCCCCTCGGCCGTCTGCTTTCCCACACCGCAGACCACTCTCCTGCCCTTCGCGGGGTCCCAAGGTCAGTTGTGTAGGACACGCAGTCTATACGTGCCACCTGTCTGCACGCTCCAGGGATGCACTGCTCACCTCCAGCCCGCCTTTCCCACCCAGGGCAGGTGGCGGAGCACGGCCCTGTGGCCAGGATCTGGGACCAGGTGAGCCTGGGATCTGGGGCCAGGTGCAGCCCAGCTCTGGGACCAGGTGCGGCCCGGCTCTGGGACCAGGTGTGGCCAAGATCTGGGAGCAGGTGGGGACCAGGTGCGGCCCGGCTCTGGGAGCAGGTGCGGGTGCTGGCCAAAGAAGGCCCCTCAGGGAGTCCTGGGGTGCCCGGATCTCCCTGGAGCAGTCCTGGCACCGCCGCCCTGCCCGTCTCAGCCTTGGGGAGAAGCGCGGAGCCCCCGGTAGTTGACCCAGTACTGCGGACCGGCCACCATGACGACTGGCAGGACTAACTAAGCAGCTTTGCTCGCCTCATTTAATTTTCACATTTCTTAAATCGCCCTAGGCCTCTTGTTCTTTCTGGGGCTCGCCCCCACCCCGAGCTTTAAGGAAGACCCTTTTCGTCACACTGTCAAAGGAAGCGAGCGGCGGCAGCTGGCAGGTGTCCCGGCCTTCCCCACCTTACGGCTCGGTACACATGGCTCAGCGCTGCCACTGACCCGGGGACTGACCGCTCACCTCAGTTTGTTCATTCTGGAAATGGACACAAATTATCTTTCTCGTAAGAATTATTAGAGCCTGCCTGGGCATAATATATCCCTTTAGGAAGGGGAAATTGTTCCAAAAACAGCCCTGTAAATCTTGCTTAGTTGTTTAGCACAGGGGAGAGAAGGGCAGCGAGAAAAATTAACACAAATTCCAGGGAGGTGAAGAGTTCATGCCAATAATAGTGAAAAACCAAGAAGTGATTATTAAGTGTCTAGATAAAGCTTTATGAAAGGACTTTCTAAGCTTAAGAACAGTAAAAAACAAAACAGAACAAAACAACAAACTATAAAAAGAGGCTTTAAAGATCGGATTCATAAAAATGTAGAAGCTCCACACGTTCGAAAAGAACATAACAAAAAAGCAAATGGTAAGAAACTGGGCGAATGCCACAAATATATGAAATCCGGCCTTAATATCTGCTTATAAAAATAGACCATTTATCTTCATAAGAATAGCTAAGGACCCGACACATTAGGCCAAAAGACCAGAGAAGGTATTCACGAAAGCAGCAGCAAGTAATCAATACCACGGTGTGTCGTCATAGAAACAGGACAGATCAGATCAGATTGGAACAATTGGCTGTCACGGTTGGTGTGGGAGAAACAGCCCTTTGTAACGATTTATATTTCCGTTGGCCACGTCCTCGCCTCTGGAGAGGTATTTGGCAACGTGCATCAAGGACGTAAACATTCATTCCTGCTAATCGGATAATTCAATTTCTGGAGCTGCGTGTCGGAACTTGGGACAGCTTCTGCGGATAGGTTCGGATCCCGTGGAATTGCTCTGGGGTTACCAGGCCTGAGAGCACGGGCCCCGAGAAGCCCGTCAGGGCCCAGGCCGTAGTAAGGGGATAACCGAACCCCAGCAGCACCCTCCTGACGCGTCACACTGCACGGCAGCACATTTGAGGCTTTGAGACACCACTGCAAAGGACCCTACTGAACAGTTACCTGTTTACTGATTTATGGCTTTATGTAAGTAATCTCTACACCCAACACGGCGCTCAAGCTCATGACCCCGAGATCAAGAGTCACGTGCTCTTCCAACCAGCCAGCCGGGCACCCCTCAACGGTTTTCTAAGTCAAGGTTTCTAAATGTAGTCATCCACCACGGGGCACTTTTGCCACGTTTTGCTTATGCACGCCTCCCCCCAAAGTACTTGTGGGGAATGCGGATACTCGCTGTGGGTTCTGGTAGGTAGGAGAGCAGCCGTGAAAGCCGACAGGTCACCAGGCGGCTGGTTCCGATGCACTTCCATATTGCAGAATAGCATCCCAGCTGTTCAGGAGGCTGGGCACAGGCCATAATTCTTACACGATGGATTGTCCAAACGAGCCCTGAATAAAGGGGAAGGTAAGGGATCCTAGCAGTGTCGGGCGGCTTCTGTTACCAGTAAACACATCCCCGGGAAGGCTGGCGGCTTCTCCTCTTATATGGGGACCAGTCACAACCTCGCCCTGGGGTTCACATCTCTTGTGTGTGCTTCAAACACACCGTCCAGCTCTGAACTTGAACACCGCACGGGGACTCGGAACTCGACACAACCGTCATCTCCGTCCAAAACGTGCCCAGAAAAACAAAAACAAAAACAAAAACAAAAACAAAACGTGCCCAGCCTCCCGACAGCCTGCAAGCTGGACTTAGTGACGCCCGTGGGGCTCGGCTTCTAGCAGCGTCTCCACACTGCAGCCAAAGGGATACTTCCCAAGTGCAAAT